GTAACGAAGATTAAATTCAAGTATATCTGTAATAAAATGCAATTCAATTAAAACCTCAACAAATACTCTTTTCTAATTTCTATTTAAAAATATTAAAAATTGAACACTTCTAATTTCAAATGTCAAATGTACATAATAATTATAATAAAATTTCAAATTTATATAATAATCATAAAATTTCAAATTTATATAATAATCGTAAAATTTTTAATTTATATAATAATCATAAAATTTCATATTTCAAATTTCAGATTTTCAAAAATTCAAAACATTCCGCACCTCCTCAACAAAAATTCCAATCACCCAGAACTCCATAATCACATCGTCATCTAAAAGCACTCCCATACTAAATTCCAGCAGAAGCTCTACCAGCTAACCTTTTCACACTTTAAAAAATCCACTAAACCGAACTTCCTGAAGAATCATTTAGAAAACTTTCCGCATTAGATCCGATAACTTAACGAACAAACTCGGTATCACCTAAAAACTGTAGCCTCATCATCGTAAATCGTAATTGGGACATCAAACGGCGATTCCCAGGAGGAAGAAAAGGGACGGGGCTGAAAGAAGAGTCTCAAACGAGGGAAGGTGGTCTCATTAACTTCCATGGTACGTCTAGGCACACGCTTATCGGCGTTATCAAGCAGGCCTGGTGGTGGCTCGCCGCCTAACTAGAAATCGATGGGACACGTCGCTGCCTTCCGTCGTTTAATACTCGCGAAAATTATTGACCAAGTTCGCCGCGGACCGGAAAGAAAAATGCCGGGGACAAAGGGAGCACGTTCGAGACGGCCGATGAATAATGCAAAAACCGTGCTCTTTCTTACTGGAGTAACAGCGTGTACTAGCGCTGAACAGCTGGAATTGCGAGATGGAATTGGTCAGAAAGAGGTAGCTGAGGGTTGGGATGATGCACATATTGATGAATGAGCTGTTTCTTTGTCAAAGTGATTATTTTAAATAATCTTACTATTAATGAATTTTGTGTATATGGAATTTTGCGATAAGAGATTTCAAATTTAATGAATTTTGTGTATAATGAATTTGTGTATAAGAAATTTGTTGTTTAACGGATTTTATGTATATGGAATTTTATTATAATGAATGTTAAATTTAATAAAGTTTTGGCACTAGAATTTGAGAACATTTGGAAAGAGTAAATCAGTCGATTTGGTTAGTGAGGTAAATAGAATTTAATTGGTGAGTTGTTCAGTTCGGTGAGTAGAGTATGTCAGTGTTATGCCAGACAGTGGAGAGTAGCACATTATCAATTAGAATTGGTAGAACACATCTACGTTAACTTAGACAAGTAGAGTACGTTAGTGTCAATTTGGACAAGTGAAATATGTCAATGGGAATACTGGTAAAGTAGACCATACAAGTAGATCGTGTCAGTATTAAATCAGGCAATTAATATAAATGAATAACAAATGAGGGAAATAAAATAGGCCAATGTTAATTTAGAAAGCTTCTTTATTGTTTATTTCAGCTAAAAAATTAATAAAATATTTAAAATGATAAGAATTCGATTTTATTGTTTATTTGTATATGTCTATTACAGAATAATTCATTTTCGAAGGAACATAATAAACAAAATCAGTTTAAATAAGTAGAATTTAAAGTTCCCTACGTGAACACTAGAAAAGATAATAATGAGAAGCGAGAGCTAATATCTTGCTCATGTAGAATTCACTGGAAATGAATTATTCATTAAACCACTGATGCAGAAAACATCCTTCTCTAATCTTCCACCGGCTACATGCATCAAAGAGAATTTGTGAAGTCAGTTCGGTTCTACCCACAGTTACAATCTTTGCGCACACCAAGGTCGGATAGCCTAGTCGATTCTATGAAGTAGAACAGATCGATATTAGTTCCGGCAAGTACCATACCTCAGTATCGTTTCAAATTAATGGAATACGTGGAATTGAATTTGAACAAGTGGAATATATCAATATCAGCGCAAACAGGTGGAATACATTAATATCTGCTCGGGCGAGGTAGAATCTATTATATTAACGCCTGCTCGAGCGAACAGAATATATATCGCTTGTTAAGTCGGATAAGTAGAATGTATCAATATCAATTAGAGTTAGTAGCATGGATCAACGTTGTTACAGCTGAATAAGTTGCGTCAATGATAAAGCAGAATCACTTTAGTAAAATTTACTATTACTCATTGTACATATGAATTGAGTAAATCATTAATAATTATTACTAAATAGTCACATTAAATTAGTAAATTATCAATATTATTAATATTACAAATATTTTCTACTATTCATGGTTTACTACGGAAGATAAATTGTACGACAATGGATTAAACAATTCTTTCATCGGATTGCCCGAGAAAGTAGCAATTTCGAAAATTATATGAGATTGTGTTATACACTGTTACTTTAACACTAGGACTACCAAGCAGTTGCTACATCATGTTTACATTGTCTCATAAAAGGATACCAAAATATGTTTCCCAATATTCGAAGCCACTAATCCTCCATCTGCGCACACCAATCATTTTAATAATCTTCAAACAAAAAATCGGAAATAGATTATTTTGACAGATTTCGTGCTTCTGTCGTTAATTAACGGTTAAGCAGGACACCGCTGTCCCCTCGAATCGTTAATTACTTTTACACCAAGCCGAGAAATCACCAGGGCATTCGCATTGTCCCCATCCCGTAGACAAGGGGAGGAGGAGAGGGCAGGAGACTTGTGCAATAAAATTCCGAACAACTCGTCCTTAGGGCGGATTCCTTTTCGTTGTTTACTACCGTTCCTGGTAGTCACGGAGCGCAATAAAAGAAGGAGGGAAAGACAGAAAGAAAGAGAGGAGAGATGAAAAAAATGGAACGAGAAAAAGAGGAATATTCTAGGAAAAGAGTTCCCGAGTGCGGTCGCTATCAACCTTTTCATTCCTGGGGAGCTAATTAGAAAATCATAACACAAAGCGCGTTTCACTGCGAGAATTGGTCGACTTGAATCGCGTTAGACCGTCGTCTTCGCCGTCCCCTAATTAACCGTGGAGAAGGGAATAAGCGTCTCGCGATGCAACGCTCAATGGACCGGCCACTGACTGAAAAGGAAGGAAAGACTTGGGAGGACCTGACGGGCTCGAGAAAATTGTATAAAATTTTTGAAACTCGTAGCGCGCGTTTGTGAGAATTCAGTTGAACGAGACTCGTTTTTAAGCTTTAACTCTGTTGGGTTCTCCGAGTGTTTTTGAACCAATCGTTTCTTATTTTTACCATTATTTCGTTTATATGAT